TCAGTGTAGAGATGAGGTCTCACCACGTTGCTCAGGCAGGTCTCGAACCCGCGGGCTCAGGCAATCCACTCACCTCAGCCTCCCAAAGGTGCGGGATTACAGACTGAGCCACCGAGCCCTGCTTGCTATCTGATTTTTTCATTATCTATTATCTATTATCTATCTACCAAGAAAGATGAGACTTTTTTTTGAGTTGGAATCTCACTCTGTCGCCCAGACTGGAGTGCAGTGGCCGCTCCCGGCCACCGCAGCCTCGACCTGCTGGGCTCCGGTGATCCTTCCGCCTCAGCCTTCCGAGTAGCTGGAACTACAGGCGCATGCTACCACACCTGGTGATTTTTAAATTTATTGTAGAGATGAGGTCTCGCCAAGTTGCCCAGGCGGGTCTCGAACCCATGGGCTCAGGCAATCCACTCACCTTAGCCTCCCAAGGCGCAGGATTACAGGCCGAGCCACCGACCCCAGCTGAAAGATGAGACTTTCTATTTCTCTCTCCTAGTAGGGTTTCAGCACAAACATGTACTTCCCATCCTCCCTATTCTTCCAGAAGTCAACCCAAAATGTCAGTTTTATCAGTATTTAAATCCTTTTGACTGAATATTTATTATTCAGAACTAAGCCAAATAGTAAACTCTGATTTTTTTTATTTCTTTCACAACTTTGTTTTCCCTGGAGTTAATAATAGCCTTGTCCCTTTGTTTAATTTTCTATGGATAGTACTGAGAACTCATTCAACCCCCAAAACTCTTCACCAATTGTTTAAATCTCCTTTCAAGCAGTTCAGATGCATTAGATATTCCATCAAATTTAAACTACCCGAAGAAGTCTCTCTGGAGCCTTCTGACCTGCTCAGATCTGGGCTGGTTTGCCTGGCGTGCACTGCTGTCATCCTGGGACATTCCTTCATCACTGTCTAGGAATCCCCTTTCACGTGTCTCCTCTATTAGTGCTCCTGGTTCCCATATCCCATGTTTTCATCTTTTTTGATTACTCTCTTGTTTTGGTGGAATACATCTTCCAGTAGCTTCCTGAGAAAGGGTGCATGGGAGGTAAATTTTTTTGAGAACTTGCAGCCTGTAGGTATCTTTATTCTACCCTCATCTTTGATTTATAATTTGGCTGGATATAAAATTCTAGGTTGAAATTTATTTTCCTGCAGAATGTTGAAGTCATTGCTCCATTGTCTGCTAGCTGCTGTTGTTGAGAGTCCAAGGCAATTCTGATCCTTTATATGTGACTTGTTTATTCCTCTCTGGAAACTCATAGGATCTTCTCTTTGTTTCCAGTGTTCTGAAATCTCACGATGATTGTGCTTTGGGTAGGTCAACTTCATCCATTGCTGAATATTCAGTAGGCCCTTTAAATATGAAAACTAATATCCTTCAGTTCCAGGAAATTTTCCTGAATTATTTCCTTGACAATGTCCTTCCCTCTGTGTAGCCATTTTCCTTTTTCTGTAACTCCTATTATTTAGATATTGGGCCTCCTAGATTGATCCTTTAATGTTGCTTGGGGGTTTTGTTTTAAATACATTCATTCATTCATTCATTTATTCATTTACTGAGTTGGGGTTGGCTCATTGCAGCTCAACCTCCTGGGTTCAGGCAATCCTTCTGCCTCAGTCTCCCCAGTAGTTGGGATTACAGGCTGTTTGTTTTTGTGGATGGTTGTTGTTGTTAAAATATTTTTTCGCTCCTATTTTCTACTTCTTTGAACGTCACTTTATGGGAAATTTCCTCACCTTGATTTTCCACACTTCCTACTGGGTATATTTTAATTTCTGAGAGGTCTTTTTTGTTTTCTAAAAATTTCTTCTTAAAAAATTATATCCTGGCCGGGCTTGGTGGCTCAGCCTGTAATCCCAGCACTTTGGGAGGCCGAGGTGAGTGGATTGCCTGAGCCCGCGGACCGCCTGGGCAACGTGGTGAGATCTCATCTCTACAATAAATCAAAAATGAGCTGGGTGTGGTAGCGTGCACCTGTAGTTCCAGCTACTTGGAAGGCTGAGGCGGAAGGATC